CATCGGCAGGCGGACCCTCAACCACTGCGCCACCAGGGAAGCCCCTAGGTGCACTTTTGTTTGATGAAACCCCCTATGATCTGGTCACGAATTTTCTGGGGGGATAAAAGCCATTTTCTCTTATGCTGATTTCACTTCCTCACTGGCATCTTCATGTCATCCCCGGGTTTCTTTCGTCTTGGAAAATGGGAGCAGGGGGTAAGGAGACAATTGTTTCTGCTACACATTTGGCCCTCGGTATCGAAAAAGAGCCCAACTAACAGACGTTTGGGAACGTGCATCCTCAAAATTGTGGACAAATTTAAGTTGTGGTCTGCGGAAAGGTAAAAGAGGCGAACCGTGTGTCGCTTAGCTAATTAGCAGGCGCAAAATTACACTGTGCTTATCAATATTTTAAATGTATAGATGGAGAGAATAAACTAAGGGCAGGAGAAGGAAATAAAACAGCTCCCTGGCACTGGAAAAATATTCTTGTTAGGAAAATAATCTTAAGAAACAAAGTTAGAAAGGAAGCAGCAGGTTGCTTCTCTCTGAGGATGTGAGTATAAAAACAGAAAGGTAGATTGCTTAAAAAGTGCTTAGGGCTTTGGTGCTCTTTTCTAACAGTTATTTCAATTTTATATTTGAGAGCCAATTTTATATTTAAGAGTGAATTTTATATTTGAGAGCCAATTTTATATTTAAGAGTGAATTTTATATTTGAGAGTGAGTATGCACTTTGCAGTTGTCCTGGGGAAAATGACATCCATTCCTCCCATCCCCCCAATCCCAGCCTCACACACTTATAGCCTTTCCTCTTTTGACTTGTATTTTCACTCTGGCGCTTGGCATGCTCTATACCAGGGGTCCCCAGCCCATGGGCTCTGGACCGATAGCGTCCAAGGTCTGTTAAGAACCAGGGCCGCACGGCACGAGGTGAGCGGTGGGCAAGCAAGCGAAGCTTCATCTGGTGCTCCCCATGGCTCCCCATGGCTCCCATTACCACGTGCACCACCCCTACACCCCCAAACCCCCCACCCCCATCTGTGGAAAAACCGTCTTCCACGAAACCAGTCCCTGGTGCCAAAAACACTGGGGACCGCTGCTTTACACTACATTATATTTTCCTGTAAACCTCTACTGGATGCTTCAAGGCAGGCTCCCCTGCTTCAGGGCCCAGCATAATATCTTAAGATTATACTAGGTTCCAAGTAGTGGTTTGTTGAATGAATAATAGAGGTTATCTGTAATCAACTTGTGCAGAACTTTAAAGCCAGATTTCTCAACCTTGTCACTATTGACATTTTGGGTGGGAAATCTTTTTTGGGGGGTGGCTGTCCTGTGCAGCAGCACCTCTACCCACTAGAAACCAGTAACATCCCAGCCCCAATTCTAGCCCAAATAGGTTACAGACATTGCCAAATATCCCCTGGGGGACAAACTCGCCTGGTGGAGAACCATTGCTTTAAAGAATTGCTTTCTCAATTGCCAGACAAATGCCTCAGAATCACCTACCAAAATTCAAGCCAGTGGGTTGCATTTTTAAAGGAGTTCTCCTTACACAGTGTAAGAATTGATTGGGGGCAAGGGTGGGGGGATTTTTCCTTGGACACTTGCCTCAGGTAATTTTGACCACATATAAATTGGATTATCTGAATGTGGATCCTCTGAAAGAATAAAATGGGAAAGTTAATGAGAGCTGGCGTTCCTGGGCTTCCAGGGCAGAGATAAATGTTTCTTCCAGACACTTCACTGTCTAGCAGTGAATGGACTGAGGAAAGAGGCAAAGCTTCACAGGAAAATATATGACCTGTTCATGGAAAATTTTTTCCTTTGCCTCTAAGCTACACCCCCTTTGTCTGTCTGTTCTGTCCTCATGTATGACTTCTGCCTAAGAGAGGCCACAGCAGTTACAGTGGGTGAGGCCGATGCGCCGCAACCTGCCCTGCTGTCCACACACACCTGGGACAGGTATGCCTGGAAGGCAGGCTCCTCCAAACGGCTGACAGGAAATCCCTCGGTGGGTGGGGAAAGAGGCTGGGGAAGCAGCCAGCGGCATCTGCATTCCCGCTCAGGGGCGTCACATGC